AGGGCAGTCCTACCCGCACAAAAAACAACACCAAATCCCTGGTAGGGACCCAAAAAAGATGTGAGTCAGCAACAGTAAGGGATGGGCTAGTTGTGATTGCCCATACAGCATGTGATTGCCAGAAAAAGGAGAGAACCTGCCTGGCCCCAGTAGGGACCAACCTATGGGACAAATCCTAGTCTGATTGCACCCTGAGTGCCCTAGATTCAAACAGCGTTGTTACAAGTTGCAGGTGGGGATGGAGAATGACAAGAGCACTATTTTGATAGTATCCACCTAATTAATAAGATCATGGGTAGACATGCTACTGATGAAAATACTGAAAAGAAATGAGCCCGCTGAGAATGATTAGTGCTCTCCATCACTGATTGGTGAGCTGACAGGAAAGTGAATGAAGGGAGAGTTGTAGGAATATTTGTTTGTTCTGTTTCCTCACACTTGATGGGAGTAGTTGGTCAAATCATCCTTCATAAATAAAATTATAAATATCTACATAAATGTACAATAACCATAGTTTTTAATTCTACATTTTAAATTATTATTTTTTATTTCAAGGGTAAAAGGAAATAACTTGGGAAAATAGGGAATATATCATACTATACATTATCACATATTATCTGTATTTAAATGTATCATTACGTAAAAGACTTTTGTGTCTGTTAGTTGCCTATATAATTCCAATTAGAGTTATTTGACTATTTTGTATTAAAATTATCACTTTTGGCTTTCAAGTTATAGAACAGATCCAGTTATATATACAGTGGTGCCCCACATGATGACAATAATCCGCCCCGTCAAAATTGCTGTTTAGCGAAATTGTCATCATGCGAAAACCCTTTCCCTATCGGAATGCACTGAAACCCAGTTTAATGCGTTCCAATGGGGAAAATACCCCGTTGCCAAGCAAAGATCACCCATAGGGAAGCCATTTTGCGATCGCCGATCAGCTGTAAAAATAGCTGCCCTGCGAAGCATGGGTCCGGAAAACACAGGGCAGCCATTTTGCGGAGCCAAAAAAATCGTTGTATTACGAACAAAAGGTTCGTGAAGCACAGAGCTAATCGACGTCCAGTGAAAATCCCCCATAGGAATGACTTTTGCAAATCGCTATAGCGATCGCAAAAAGTCATCGTTATGTGGATTTGTCGTTTAGCAGGGTCATCATTTAGCAAGTTACCACTGTATAGGGTTCCATTTTTCAGATGCTTCTTGGATTGAATTGTCTTTCAAAGCTTCTGTTAATATGTCCATCTCCGCCACTTCCATAATCTTTTCCTCTAGTTCTTCACAATTTGGTATTTCAATTTTCTTCCATTTTCCTGCATATAGTATTCTGGCTGCAAGTATTACAGTGGTGCCTCGACTTACGAACTCAATCCGTTCCAGAATGGTGTTCTTAGGTCAAAATGCTCGTAAGTAGAAGCACCATTTCCCATTGAAATGCATGGGAACGGGATTAATGCATTCCAGCATTTTAAAAAAATAATAATACTGAATGAATGAATGAATGAATGAATGAATGAAGCATAGAGAAAGCCCCATCAGAAGGCACTGGGGCTTTAAAAAAACAACCAAAAATAAACAGAGCAAGCGCCGAAGGCTGCAAAACCCCCCGAAACAAAACCCAAAAATAAACATCCAGCAATCCCCACGCTGGGACTGCAAATTTTTTTTTACCAAAAACAAACAACACAGCACAGAAATATAACCCCCCTCAGCCAAAACCCATCCTGCAAAACCCACCCAGAAGTTTCTAAAAAGCAAAAAGCAGCACCTTACCAGGCAGACAGAAGCCTCCTCCAATGGCACTCACTCCCTGGTGGATGGTGGATGGCGATATAGGGCAGCCAAGGCGGCGGGGGGGGGCTTACTCATGCGTAGACCCATACCTTTGGTGGGCCTTACTCATGAGTAGACCCACACCAGGGATGGGCAGGGAGCACACCGGCTTCCCCGCCCAGTGGCAAACCAGAGCTACCCCACTTCTCCTTCCTCCTCCTGTGCCGCCGCCACACGCCCCGTCCATGGAGGAGCCTCTCCGACCGGCATACCCCAGCCCAGCCCAGGGCCTTCGGCAGCCCTTACGTATGAGTAGACATGTGCCTTTGGTGGGCCTTACTCATGAGTAGGCCTGCGCCAGTGATGGGTGGGGAGCATACCGGCTTCCCGTGACCGGCGGCGATCCAGAGCTGCCCCCCCCTCTCCTTCCTCCTCCTGCACCACAGGAGTAAAAAAGGTCCCTGACCCCCTACTCTCACTGTTGGGGCGAAAGAGCTACAAAGAAGCAGCCTCTTCGCCATCAATGGTTTGAATGTCCTGCCTTTTCTCCCTGCCTTTTTCTGTTCTTTGGTCAAAGCTCTGCTGTTAAGTTGAAGCAAAATTTTGCAAGCGGAGCTGTTCGTAAGTCGAAATGTTTGTAGGTAGGGGTGTTCGTAAGTTGAGGGACCACTGTATATGTATCACCAAATGGTTCTCTCTCTTATCTAAACTCTCTGGTAACATATTTAATAAGAATAATTTTGGTTTAAATAATTCTGGTTTTTAATTCTACTTTAAAGCCATAGTTGTTACACATCTGTATAGAATATTCTCACATGATTTAAAAAAAGAACCACATGTACAGAGGGGAAAACTATCTCAATATTACTAAATAACTTTTTGCTGTAAACTACACAAATTGAGAAGTTTTGTTTAGTAGAATCTTGTCAACTTGCTTTTTAGCTGTCTCCACAGTTGATGGAGATTCTGCCTAACTTCATATTGATCATCATAAACAACAGCACAGTCCAACATAATTGTACTACCTTTATCTTGCAGCATTTCTAAAGAAAAATATCAGCTACAACACAGCTAAGCAGGCATTTTTTAAAAAATTGCCCCTCATGCCTTTCCATTTACCAAATTAGACATTCTAATGTTACTTGTGATACAGTCTTTCTTTGCAAAGTAAGATAGCCATGCATGTGGGATTGTCAACATTTTTCAGGGTCTTGGCTGTTGCACAACTTAACACATTGCCACACAGCGCTGGTGTTGTAAACAAAGCGTGTAGGTTGAATCTACACTGAGATATACCTTGTTTCCAGCCCAACATTTGTCGACCCTACATCAAGTCAGTGTGATTGTCACTGTAGTGTTAATAGGTGCTGTTGCAGGAACAAAATTACAGTGTTTTTTCACATGACAAGCTCCATTCCCTCGGGGCGAGATACCGCAGTGGGCAGCACTAGAAGATGCTGAGGTGATTTTCCTCTCAGCTGGCTGGATGCCAAAATATTGAGGAAAGAGTTTCATTGGAAGCAGCAGGTGCTTTGGTAAAGTGAAGGGCAGCTTGATCCTGTGGATGTTTATTATCCAAATGGGTTGTGTGTGGAGCTGTCTCCCAATTAGGGATGTAAATAGAACTGGAGCTGTTGCTTTAGCAATTTGACCCATTTCGGCTTGAATTATTGATGGAACCATACTAGAGAGAAGTTGAGGATTTTTGACTCCTTTTGAACTGGCACAGCAGAGTATAGGAATGAGGTAGTCGGGGTGAAGGCGATACTAGAATAAGTGTAGCAGCGAGTGGTGGGAATAGTTTCTCAGCAAGAGAGAGGAGTTTAGAGTGGAGATGGGATTTTAGAGACGTGGCATCCCAGTTTGGCTGTGAAGGACTCGGAAGGGGGACGTGAGGCAAGCAGATTGGCAGTGTTAAAGGGGCTATGGAAGACATTGAAAAGGACAGAATGAGCAGCACACAGCTGATTTCTGTCAATACAGTGACAGAATGCTGTTCAATGGCAGCATGACAGTAGGAGGAAAATGGGGTAAAGGGAGTGGATTTCCAGCTGAAGTTATGGGAGCAATTGTATAGCAATTGTCCACAACATAATGGCAGAAGGGAAAGGTAGCATCTTCAATAATGTAGACACCCAAAACCACCACATTGCCATGGTCATAAAAGTGAACCTGCAGTGTCAGAGGTGACTGTGTGGTGGCTATGTGGAGAAAAACTATGGATTAAGGCGTGGTTTGCTCCAGGGCTGCAACAGATTTGCATCTGTGTCATGCAGAGTGAATGCAGTGAAGCAGAAGTGGCAAATTTTTTCCACAGGTGTAGATCCAACCATAGACCACCGTATCCCTTGACATATGCTACTGAGCAGCATTTGCGTGTGGGAAAAAATGTCACTTGGTGTCTCCGAAATGACGCGGCCCCCCCCCCCCATGTAGGCTGTTGCACTGTCTCAGTTGTCCTCACCTACCACTCCAACTGCTACATCACCATGGTTTTCTCAGTTACTCTCTGACTGGCATTTGTAATTTACCTAGAGGCAAAGGATTATCCATTAAAGGCAATGCATCTTTTCTTCCTTAGAGGAAGGCTTGTCAATTATAAAAGGAAAAGGGGGAAAAAGAATCTATACATATTGAAAAGATTTCTGGGAGCTTAGTAGTCAGAATAATAATAAATGCAAAAGGACCAAAAATGACAAATACATCCTTTTAAAATATACATTGTACTTAGTTGGAATAAAATAAACAGCAAGATGTGTAATGTTAGGAAGTCATATGATCAAAGAAAATGCACTGAATAGCCTATAACTATTCTTTCAAATAAAATGAGTAATTCAATGCAAAAGTGTTGTGACCACTTCTGATGGGGGGGGGACCTTGTATGCATGAGTCAAAGATTCTATTACAAGGACAGGCAGTGCTGCTTTTCAATAATGGTGTCAATTCCGAGTGCTAGGTGGTATGCGGCGTTGCTGGTGTTATTTTTCCAGATCATTTGAATGGAAATATTGGATTAGCTAACCCTGTGTCAGGTCTGTTAGTTATAAACCCTCCAACTGTTACTGACGGAAGGGTGCATAGCTGGGACTAAAAGCAGCTGCTGTTTCTTCATTCAAGGTTTTGTGAAACATCCTACCATCGTCATGTTTTTAAAAATAAAACGATTTATTAAACTGAAAGGAGATAACAATCAAAAATTTCACAGCTTTGTCTTTTCACAGGAAGCTTTGTCCCAGTGGGAAATCCTTTTAGCCGAACACCATCAGCTGGACTGCGCATGGTAAGGAGTTCTATTTTTTCCCCTTTTTGCATATAAAAAAGAATTTAAAGTTTAAAAAAACCTTTCTTCAAAAGTGACCATTGTATACGAGCTTTCTTATATTTCCCTTTAGTCATAAAAGGACTGTCTTGCAAAAAGAAAAAATCCTCTGTGTAGGATTTGTGTCTCCCATAGCTGCTATCTGAAAACCAAAGAATAAAAAGAATCAATATTATCTTAGCACAGCATGCTTGTAATTAATTAGAATTAGATTGTAACACTTTACTTTTAGTATTTTTAGATTCATTTTTATGGTTCTAAAACAAATATTACATATCTGGAGCTCAGCTCAGACGTTGACTGATTCTACTTTCAATTTACTTTCAATTGAGAGAGACTGAAATCCATTTAACAGTTGTTAGTTTACCTGACGTTAAGCAGAGTTATTGATTTCATAATAAGTGCACTGTAATCATTTTAATAGCTTTCAGATTTTATTTACTTTACAAAATAATAAAGTGATTGTAGTTTTCAGCATTAAAAATTTCACCTGAAATGGATACATCTCTCAAGTATTTCCTGTATATTTCCTTTCATCTATTCAAATTAAAAGATTTACACTTCGGATTGTTGTACGAATGTTGCAAATTTTGCAAACAGAAGTAGGTGGTGTTACTGTGGTATTATCTACCTTGTTTCCAATGTCTGAAGATTATAAACATTGCCTTAAGAAACTACTTTACCAGTTGGGGGTCCCAAAGGAAATCTATCATACATCTTTATTTCTCCTCAGCATACATTGTTATTTGTTCTCTCCTTCTCTTTCTTCATCATATTTTCCTCTTTTTTTCCCAAATTATTTTTTCCTTCAAAAAATAAAAAGATACTTTTTTGTGGTCTTATTTGGTGAAATTCAGTACTTGCGTTCTTCTATATTACACAGTTAAAGACACTCAAGCGGCTTCAGAACTCCATTTGCTCCTGGTTATTAAATGTATATAATTTTGTGTGATGCAGTTAGGAATCTCACCTAAGAGCTTTTAGAAAATAAAAAGATACTTTTTTGTGGTCTTATTAGGTGAAATTCAGTTAGGAATCTCACCTAAGAGCTTTTAGTTTGCAATACAATTCCTATTAGTCTGAGCAGAAGATCTGGGTTGGAGGTATTGGTATTGTTCAAAAAATGTTATGTTACAAACTGTTTTATGCTTATATTTTTATCAGCTAGTATTGCAACATGTCCTGGGAATGAGGAAAGGGAATATAGTGGCTCAGAATTATTCCTGCCAATATAACGTACACCAAAGAGGAAAAGTGGGGTGGGAAATACATTATGGTATTCATTAAGCATTCTTTCCCTCTCTTTTGTGATATTGTAGTGGCAGAAGAGTTCTCCTACAAGTATGTAAATTGGCATCCTTTACAGTTAAAAGTGAACTGTTTCTGATTAAAGGAGAATGGATCAAAATAGTGTCTGAATAAATCTTACAAGTTGAATTATTTCACCTACTTTTCATTTCATCCTTTTAAAAAAATCCCTGTGAGCGTCGTTGCAGCAGCTGTGTTTGTGTTTCTTTGTGTGTGTGTGTTTGTACATTGCAGGACTCAGTAAAGTGGAGCCTGGCACAGCTTTTCCTCCAGGCACATTATCAATTCCCATGCTCATTAAATGCTTGAAGGACTATAATCAAATAAGGATCATAGCCATCTGAAAGCTCAAGAAAGCAACTGTGGTGCCACCAGCAGTAATTAAATGATTCAGGCTGCTTAAAGACCAATGTATGACAGTACTTCTTTTTTTAAAAAAAAACTTCTTCCATTGATAGGATTTTAACTACTGCCACTTTAGTTCTTTTCCCTTCCCAATTGGTTTGAATTGAGCATCAGTGTTCTGCCTATTAGGCTTCTGAACTAGGGTCCCACTGGTGAACTTGTGGATAGGGATCAGACTGTTGATTTTTTTTTTAACTTGCCTTGCCATCCTATATTGCAGCCCATTCCATATAGATCGTCTGCTACTATGAAAGGGCCTGAAACTTTCCAGAACAGTGGTGACACTGGAGGATGCACAGGAAGAGAACTGGGGTGGGTGGGAATCAATCCAAGCTCCTCCTTGTCTCCTTCATCCAATGATAACATTTCGAGCACAATTCTTCATTAAAAAATAGTCCCAGTAGCAGAAAAGAAGCTGGATTCAATCTGTTGCTTACCATTTGGATTTTTTCCACTGAAAAAAGGAGTATGAAAGCTGGATGTCCTGTCAGCATGAGCCTAGTTGGTTTAGATTAGCAAACTGGCATCTCACCTTTGGTATGAGGATAATGTTTGGTGCAACAGCTTTTGGCCCTCAATAATATGGTGAAAGTGCTCTGCCCTGCCACCTTTCTAGTCTACTCCACCGTATGAGGTATGCCTGTGTCTTCCATACCTGCAAAGCACCTCAAACTGTTAGATAGAGAGTGTGGGCCATACACCACACTCCTTTCATTTTCCCATCCTACTATGCTGGCACCACGTTTGCCCCAATTTCTGTGACAAACAGACCTTACCTTTCTGTAGCTAGACTCCACTGCCACAGCATGTCCCTCAAAGCCTCTTGAATTTTGTGAGTTGTGTGACTGCCCTCCATCACAGCCATATTCAACAGGGCCCACCTGTATCCTGCCATTGTGTGTTGCCCTATGCCTGATGCCTCCAGCTACCACCAGTGTCCTGTCAGGGAGAGAAAGATATGTTTTGCACCCTGGCTCCTCTCTGGTTATCACTTGTAAGGTGTATGACTTGTGCCCTGGCCAGCTGCTGCTGTACCACTACCCTTGGTGCCAGAGTTTTGTTTTTCAAATAATTCCAGGATACTTGTACCACTACCCTTGGTGCCAGAGGATCTTTAAGTTTTGTTTTTCAAATAATTCCAGGATACCTGATAACTAGTAGAGAAATCACTTTCTCTTTACCCTCTAGCAAGAAGAAACCTAGCCTATTGTTCCCTGAAGTAAATGGAATTCCAAATACAGTATTAGGAATTGTTATTACAGATTTTCAGAACCATTGAATTCAGATTCAGATATATTTGAAACTATCAAAATGGCACTACCCTGTGAATTTTGAATATTTTCAAATTTGAATTCACAGCTTGTTTCTAATTTGGCAGGTTTCATCTCTCAGGACGTAAAATAAAGTGTTACAGGTCAACAGTAAACCTGCATAGCACAGAAACCTCTGGATCCATGTGTCTCAGATTGGCCAAATAAATCACTCAGAAGGGAATATTGTCATATAGATTTCATCTAATTCTGTGAAGAAGAAGATTGGAAAGTGCCTAGAGTAGATGGGATCAATAACTTTTGGTTTTAAAAATGTAACTTCTCACTTTTACCTGTCTAAATTTTTTAACAAAGGCCTTGGCAACTCTGATTTTATTCCAGAATGCTTTATTTATACAAAGAATACCTATCATTTTTATAAGGTTGGCTGATGTTCTGATGCTAAAAATTCCTGACCTGTTTACCCACAGTTTACAGATTGTTTACATCAGTTATTTACCAAAATATTTCTAGTTTTTTCAAATGCAGCCACATTCCAACAGGTCAACAAAGAGGTTGTGTTAAGAAGTCTTACAATTTGTAAGGAATTTCTCACTGTTGATTTCTTCATAGTGAGTCAGGTTTCAAGGAACCCTAGAATTTCATCAGCTGCTTCTATTGATTACTGAAAGGCTTTTGATTCTGTGCCCCACTCACGGCTTCTTGAAATTTTGAGGATCTGCAAAATTGCTTGTAGAATTGACTATCTGAACTCATAACAAAATGGAGGACAAAACTAAAGTTCAGGGACCTCCTCTCCAATGATATCCTTATTAGAAGAGGTGTTCAGGGTGATTTCTGTGTTTATGAATGGCTGTAAGTCCCTTTGAAGACAATTGAGTGATAGTGCTAAAAGCCTAATTACAAGAGAAACTGTCTTAATGTCTCATAGTTAATATACATGGATGATATTATCTGCAAGCTTTCCTGATAAAGTGAATATTCTCTTAAGCTTTATTTGTATTATTTGTATACCAACAAAACAAACACCATTTAAAAATACTTCATAAATACAACATTAAAAACAATTAACCTATATTGAGAATAAAAGCCAATAGTAAAAACAAATTGAAAGCATTTAAAAATCTATAAATTAAAAATCAGCATTCCTGATACAACTTACTGCTTAAAAGCCTGCCTGAAGAGGGAGGTCTTTTCCTCACAATGAAAGGACAAGAGGGAGGGGGACAACCTGGATTCTCAGGGCAGTTCATTCCAGAGCCTGGGAGCAACCACTGGGGAGGCCCTCTTGTGTCCTTGCCAAACAAGCTTGGGAAGGTGTTGGAACCAAGACAAGGGCTCCTCAGAAGATCTTAAAAGCTGAGAAGGCTCATATAGAATGGTATGATCCTACAGATAGCTTGAACCCAAGTCATATAGGGATTTATAGGTAATAACCAGCACTTTGAATTGGGCCTGGAAACTGGCAGCCAGTGAAGTTTTGTAATGAAGGAGATATGTGCTCCCTATAACCAGTGCCGGTCAGCAGTCTGAATGCAGCATTTTGAACCTGCTGAAGTTTCTGAACACTCTTCCAAGGCAATCTCATGTAGAGTGTATTGTTGAGTCATAATAGCAAGGAATTTTGGAGTTGATAAATGTGCCATTAGCTGGATAGTAGCTCAGTAAGTTAGGTATCTGGTTGCAGAGTAAGGCACTGGGAATTTGATTCCCAACTGTGTCTCCTTGGAGAAGAGCTAGCCAGTATAGCCTTGGGCTACAATACACACCTAGAAGAAAGGAATGGTAAACTACTTCTGAGTGCTGTCTACCAAGAAAACACTGGAAAGGGTCACCATAAGTCAGCATTGACTTGATGACACACAGTTCTTATTATAATGTGTTATCCACACAAAAAGAAGCAGATTCTCAGAGGGCTGCATTTGTGAGCTCACCATCTTATAGTTTTTTCAATGCTTCCAGAAGCAGAAAACCTATAAATATCTAGTCACCTACAAAAACATCTCTATAAACCACAAGGAACCTAAATCATTGTTCAGGGACTATTACTTTGATAGAGTGAAATTGGTAGTCAGAACAGAACTCAATGCAAAAGGAAAAAGTATTGATTTTAATAGCTAGGTAACACAATATTAATCTGTATTTTTGGAATCATGAATTGGAAGTACAGTGATCTAAATTATTTAAGTAGGATAACTTAATCCCTCCTCTCAAAGCACCAGTGCCATCATCAAAAGGCATGTACATAGCTCCTTTATTTGCCATGGACAATGGGTGGGCACAGGCTTGTCAACTTCAGGCATCTCTATATGGGTCAAATAGTCAAATTTCGAAACTGCTTCCTTGGGAACACAGTTTCAGTTCATTCATTAGATCACTGGTTCTTAACCTTGGGTTACTCAGGAGTTTTGGACTGCAACTCCCAGAAGCCTTCACCACCAGCTGTCCTGACTGGGGTTTCTGGGAGTTGCAGTTCAAAAGCATCCGAGTAACAAAGGTTAAGAACCACTGCATTAGATGATAGAAGAGGTATGTAAAAGATCAATGGTATTGCAACTTGCAAGGGAGAACCAGGCTGCATTGATGAAAGTTTCACAGTGCTGGGATGCATGGCTTAGAAACTGCTACATGGACAGCACTCAGGTTACCACCTCAGTGATAACATTGATAAACAACAATAGAATATGTGGTTTAAATTGGTTCCTCTTCAGGCTGAAACTGAGGGATTCATCTGTGCAATCTGAGACCAAATTAACTCCATTAGGTACTATCAGAAAATAGTTATGAAGCAAAGTTTAAGTGATAAATGTAGGACCTGTCCTGAATCCAAAGAAAAAAAATTAATATCATATTTGAAGGCCTCAAGCTCAACAGACTGTATCTGCAGGCATAACCAAGTTACAAAGACCAGTTGGCTAAATCTTACGATTTATTTTCCATATTATATAATATTTCCATATTATAAATTCCAGGCACCTCCACGTTTGGAAAATGAAACTGCAATACTATACTGGAACAAGCACTTTATCATGGATAAAACGTAATAAACATTACATTTCTCAGTAAGGAACAAAGAAAAAAACAAGTTGGAATTCCATCAACAACCAATCTCAAAACTACAGAAAGTATAAACAACATACCCAACATTAAGACAAGAAGTTAATGGGGTGTGGAAGCAAGGTCATGTTATTCTCCCCATACTAATTTCAGCAACTGGAATCGTTCCAAAGCTTTTGGCTACCATTACAAAACAGTTGTCTAATTTGCTAATTTGCTTCCTGAAATCCAAAAATCAGTGATTTTGCAAACATATCTCCTCACTTTCAGATTTTTAGGATTCCTGGTTTTTAGGCTTGGCCCTTTGGGGTGCCTTCTAAAACAGCAACACTGAGAAAGTGTGATAGTAAATAATGACAATAATGTCATTCATCCATTTTCCATTATAGTCAGTGGCTCAATATATGAACCTTCAGATTTATGGGTGGAAAATAATTTTAGTGATTTTGAGATTCTTGCCAAAATTGCCCATTTCACCTTCTGCAAAACTTGTTGAAACTCAAAACCTTGGAAATTTAAATATTTAAGGATTGTTGAAAATTTAGTATCACACATACACTTTTTAAAATGAATGGCTAAAATGTATACTGTTGAAACATGCGAAAAACATGCACAATTATCTGTTCAGTTGGGAAAATGTGCAAAAACTGCATATGTTAGGAAAGCATATAAATAAACATATATGTGATAGGAAATATATGTGGGAAAATGCATGCAAATTTCCATGTGGAAAAATCTCCATATGTAGATATTTGCAGGCAGGTTTGCAGTTAAGATTTAGAGAATTTCAGTGACATCAAGATTCAAGAGTTTTTGGCATTGGTTTCTACTGTGAGGTTCTACATTGGATTCAAAGTGAAGGGGATCCTATCAAAAACAATATAAGGCTATAGCATTCACCCTTATTATGTTAAGTAGTCATGCATATTCATGTTGCAGGCTAATGTTGCTGAGAGGCGGAGCGGAGAGATATGTAAAAAGAGGTGGAGTCAGAGAGTGAGTCAGAGTGAGAGTCAAGAGGGAGATGAGATTGGAGAGGGAGATAGAGTGTGGTATTTGGGAGATCTGAGGTGTGATTAGTTAGAAGAGTGAATAGTAAGATCAAATAGAAGATTGTTTTTGATGATTGAGAAACCTGAAGAAGATACTTATGAATGATAATCAAAACACCTGTAATCAATAAACTTGTTTTATTTAAAAGACAGTGAGGTTTGGACCTTCATCCTCATCCTTCCATAAGTAAAGTATGTTGATTTAGTTATCAACTGGTGGCAGCATGTGAAAAGTATTGGTTTGCATTCGTGTGCTCTGTGTTTGGGGAGTCAGGCAGGGGCCACGAGATCCAAACGCCACAAAGGCAAAGAGGTTCATTATCTAAAGTGCGACCTGAATCTAATTGTGTCTTTCTGTGCACAGCTCCACCAAATTATTGTTAAATAACATTTTAGCAATCTGGTTCCATTATATATCTATATATCTATATCTATCTATCTCTTTAAACCTTTAAATGGAGTACATATAATATGACACTTGAAAAATAATGTGCATTTCCCTTTGGGAGGAAGCACGTTGGATCCACATTTTAATAAAACTTTAATGCAACATCTGTGAGCATTCAAAATATCCCAGGGCATCTTGAAGTTTTTAATCTATTATTTCCTAGAGCTTACCTCAGTTTAAGGAAGTTTGATGGGGCTTTTTGGAGAGCTCATAAATATCATCCTTTTTAAAAGAATCATAATGAGAATAGCAATAGTAATCATCATGATGACTCATCACTGAGTAACAACAGCCACTCCTTCCCTTTGGGTAAAACTCACTGCTTACACAGTGTTGCTGCTCTACTCTTTCCCTCACATCAGGGAAAAAAGAGCTGAGAAAATAGGCTCAAACATGCCTCTCTTGCATGTATTGAAAAGTCACTGCAAGCTAAATCCACTATTTCTTGCTTTAGGGGCAAACTAAGTATAGGAGGGTAAACTTCTGTATTTGAGCATGGAAGAGCTTCAGCTATTTAAAAAATGGGAAAGGAAGATTTTAACAGCAGAAAGGGTCCATGCATGATGCACGTATAGTTCTCCCACTTACCTGTTACTTGCCTTAACTAAGTCTTGTGGAAAAGTACTTATCTATAAAAGCTCACATTAAAGCATAGCAGTTAGTCTTTAAGGTGCCACAACGTTTTTGTCTTCTTTAATTTTTTTTCTCTTTTGTTTTGCCTGACACGCTTCCTATATGCGGGACATGCTTTGGCTTGTAGTGTCATTCAGTAGAAATTGTGTTTATAATCCTGATATTTTTAATGGCAGATTTTATTGTATACAACAAGCATATGTCACAGTAAAATATGATTACAGTGGTGCCTCGCTTAGTGATCGCTCCGTTGAGCAACAAAATCGCTTAGCGACAGAGTTTTTGCGATCACAAAAGCGATCGCTTTGCGATGGTCCCTATGGGTTTTTTTCGCTTTGCGAAGCGATCATGGCAAAGCGACCCTTTTTTAACAGCTGAGCGGTGGTTTCAGAATGGCCACCAGGAAAACAAAATGGCCACCCGCTGTGTTTCCTCGCTTTAGAGGCACTGAAAATGGCCGCCCCTATGGAGGCTCTTTGCTTAAAGGTTAGTTTTTAGCCCATAGGAACGCATTAATCGTGTTTTAATGCGTTTCTATGGGCTTTTTAATATCGCTTAGCGATGAAATCGCTTAGCAACATTTTTCCGGAACGGATTAACATCGCTAAGCGAGGTGCCACTGTATGTGAGCATAGATTGTCTTATGATGGCTAATTAGTATATCTATTAATGTTAAACAATTTCTTTTAGAATGCTGAATTGACAGCTGCAGCCTGTGTCAAAGGAGATACAAGTTCCATTCCTGTCCAGGAAACAGTAAGTGCTATGCACATTTTTATCTCTTTGTTTTCATGTGTGCTGATTTTATTTGTTTAGTTTAAAGATTATCATTCATTCTGAAATGGGCTTAAGTTCTTCTTTAGCGATTGTTGGAAATGATTAGCTTCGAACATTTCTCAGGTAATTCAGAGGCAAGATCCAGATTTTCATACTTGTCCACAGGACAAGAGTGGAGGAACTGCTGCACATTATCATATGATTATAAGTCATACGAATAGAATGTTTTCCTTTGTTGTGTGCGCACATGTTTTCTTGTTCAGCATTACATTCCATAGCAATTAATAGCTTAAATGGTGTAGCAGAAAAATCCTGAGAGTGTGACAACACTGATAACTTAGTTAGGCACACACCAGTGGTCTCTCCTCTGTTTCTTTTTATCCACTGCAAGAATAAGAGGAGCCTTCTCTGATTTACCTTTTTGAGTAGCTGACTCTTGTAGTGTTAATTTTTCAAATAAATAGTTCATAGTATTAGACTTACTTAGGTTTTTAAAAAAGATTTGTGTCTACACATCTTTATTTTGTTTGTTTGTTTGTTTGTTTATGCCCCGAGTAGCCTTTTTCAAGCAGTGTGTTATCTATGGGGCAAAAATTACACATTGAGACAGACACTCTAAATGTTTATTTAGTCATGTTTAACACAATAGTGTTCAGTTTGTTGAGGGTTCACCAAGAGGCTACAATGTAACTGGAAACTGAAATTAAAATGACGTGTGTGTGGAAAATCAATGCAAGTGACTGAGTTAGTGGCTGTGAATATTCTTGTTATACACTGCCTCGGTTTTGGTTTGAAAGGCACAGTTAAAGTCATTAATAGCATTGCTAACTACAACCATTTCAGCTCCACCTCTGTCACAGGGGCTTTGACATCAGTAGTAATAGTAAGGATATTGTGTGCAGTACCAGGAGTGGAGTTGATATTGTCCATGCATTCTCACCTACTTTCCTTATCAAAGGTTACAGTACCACTACTAAAAATGTACTATAAAAGGTCTGCCGCTACACAAGAATCTTAAAAATGAAAATAGAATGGAAAAAGAGAATATTAAGATCACTGCTGAATAATTGTCTGCTTTGTCATCACTTTTGTCATGTCCTTTGATTTCAAAGAAATCCATGCCGCAGGTGTTGGGACAGCATATGTTGCAGGACCAGATTACAAATGATTCAAAGATTCAGTTCAGTTTCACTTGTAGACCTTCGCAGTCCAATATCCAAATATTGCCTGTGAAGGATGTTGTTCTAAGGGCAAAAGTACGGGTTTGTTACTCTCTAATGAGAACCAGCATAGAGTCCCTCAAGGAATATGACTTACTGTGCATCCAGGAAACATACTTAGATCTTATATTTGTGGTTTGTTGGCTCGTTCCTTTTTCAAATTATGTACAGTGGTGCTTCGCATTACGATGTTAATTCGTTCCAACTAAATTGCTGTAGAACGAAAACATCGTAATGCGAAAATAAAAAGCCCATTGAAACGCATTGAATCCCCTTCAATGCGTTCCAGTGGGCTGGAAACTCACCGTCCAGCGAAGATCCTCCATAGCGCGGCCATTTTCGGTGCCTGTGCAGCGAGGAATCTGTCACAGAAAACAGCGGGGAGCCATTTTATTTACCTGGTGGCCATTTTGAAACTGCCGATCAGCTGGAGGAAAATCGTCATTTTGTGAAGAATCGGTTCCCAAAGGAGGGAACCGATCATTGCAAAGCGAAAAAACCCAATTCAGACCATCGTTTTGCGATCGTAATGTGGTTTCGTCATAATGCAGGGCAATCATAAAGTGAGGCACCACTGTGCAGATTGAGGTTATGGATCAATTATTTGACTCACACAGTATCTCAAAAATTGGCATTGGTGAAAAAGGATTCAGACCAAGAAAAAGGATTAAGACCAAGCTAAATGTCACTCACTATTCTTCAGTTCCAAAAGAGCATTCCATACCTCTAAAGAGTTGACTGTATTAGAGGTGAAGGTCTTTATGGCAGGACATGATATACCAAACACTTCTGCATTTAGCAAGTCCTTCAACAGCCTTT